CCTGGACAGCGGTCAACTCTCGCGTCGTCACTATAGGGTTTCAGAGATCATACGTGAAGCGGCCAGTCCTTCGGTAGCCAGAGCGCAAAGGGAAACAACCACAAACGAACGATCAATAGGTTTTGTGAGAGAGAGCACCAGGGCTACAAAATCAAACGTCAAGCCCTACTCTATCCTTAAAGCGGCTTCGGATTAGACTATCATGATGGACACGTGTGAGAAACAACACAAAATCCCCGAGGATACTTGTGGTTCAGCCTCCAGACCAGACACATTTCTATATTCGCGCATTTCAAAGCGCGTTGTCACTAAGTATTACGAGCTCACTAACGAACTAACTCGAAATAGGTTCGTCGCTGATTCGTACGCGGTAAAGGTGGGAGCGAGAGGTATAACAGCCAAATCTCTCTACAACCTACCAAAAGACTTGGGCCCGTCCAGAACCAACATTAATTCACTCTTGGAACGTACGTCGAATTCAGCCCTAGTAGGTTCAATTAGTAGTAGTTTTCAAATTTGGCCAGGTAGGGAGAGGAACTTGGACAGTGGAGGCGAGCGTACAACGCGCGTTAGTTAAGGGGCCCCTTAAACCCACACCTGGGTCGCAAGTCCCAGGCACTGCTGAAGCTCCCCTCCCTGCAACGCGATGGACCCGGCACCCGCACGGTGAATCCATTGAATGCTAAGCGGTTTCGTCCCTTGTACCTCAGGAAGTTTGTCACGCCACGTTTTATGGGTATCGTTTTCTATAATAGTTAGCAGACATTTTAAAATCTGCATGACCCTTTCTACTTGACCGTTGGCTTTATTTGCCCCTGTTGTTATAAAGTAAAGTTCTATACGAGGTGTTTTACTCAATTCTCTAAAGTCCGCGCTTACAAAGCCCCTTCCCCGATATAACAATTCGCTTGAGAACACCGAAAAGAGAAACAGCTTTTCTCAACGCTTTAATAGTACAACTGGCATCGAGGGATAGAGTATGCTCTTAAAGGACATACTTGATAACGTAATCAATCATTACTGACGCGTATTTCTTTTCTGTCGCTTTTGCCACTTAATGTCCCAGTCATATCTATGTATGTGAATAGTATGCCAATAAAATGTATGCAAATCCGTAGGAGAATTTACATGGCCAAAATAGCAATAACCCCACTGAATAAAATTTGGAGAGATAGGAAAATTATTAATGGAACAAAAATGCATCTGATACGAACGCTTGCCTTCTCTATATTTCTATCTATCTAGCTATCCGATTCTGTATAGTGCAAAGACGTGGACTATGAAAGTCGTTGACAGGCAAAGAATTGATGCCTTAGGAATGTGGTGATGGCGAAGTATGTTACGCATACCTCAAAATATGGTCGGCGCTTATCTAATATCTATTTGCAGCACATACTGGCGTTGATTGGTCAGTTCCCTGACAGAACTACAGACAGCTTTAAACGTCCGCTAGTGATTGAAAAAGTGGACGGTAACCGAACTAGAGGACTAAATCCCAAAAGGTGACTGGACCAAATCCCAGAACACCTAAAAATACCTGCCTGCGTTGCACTCCATCAAGAAACTAAACGTGTCTATCTCAGTATGGATATGGTTGATTTAAGTCCATACAAGGGACTGATGGACGATAGGTTACCAACGACTAACTTTGTTTCGCTCAATTTTTTTTCGATATAGCATATTGTTTCTAACATCGTAGATGTGACTAATTGAATCGGGAAACTTATTATTTAAGAGCTGAGCAACAATATCTTGAACATATGCATCACGTTTTTGTTCTACCGCTAACCACCCTTGATTTACCTCTACAAACTGCACAGACTTATTAACTACTTGAGCCTTGCTTTTGTCGCTCTTGGAAGTGCCCTGCTCAGGGTCATCTATGTACTCTCGGTGTTATTTTTTTTTTTTTTTTTTTTTTTTAACTAAGAAGCTTTGAAAGGATTGCCACCCGTGAAAACAATAAAATGATGACCATATAGCTTTTGCTTCAAATATTCTTCCGCTCGAACGACTGCCGAGGTCTCAAGTTCATAAGAATGATACTTTTATTCCGTGTCAGTTTTCCGGCGACTGAAATATGAAATAACGTGAGGAACTCCGTTCTTTCATTTAATTAAAATGGTACCGTATCCGTTGGCGCTGGCATTCGTGTGTAATTCTATAGGAGGCTCGCGATCAAATATAGTTAGAATAGACTCCGTGGTAAGTATTTGAACTATCCATTTACGGATATTACCGTGGACTTCTGACCGTTTAATTAAACCCTTTAACTTAGTGAGTAGACATAAGGATCGTACTAGGCGGAAATAGTTCGGTATAAAATTTCTAAAACAAAAGGCTTACTATAAGAATTGGTGTTAATCTCCCTAGAGTCAACATACATTATGTCAGAGTTGTCATTCGTTTTTTTTTTTACAATTAGAATGGGGCTTGATAAAGTGTAAAATGATTGTTTCAAAGAGGGCATCCATTTTTATTTTTTTTTATATCGAACAACCTCTTATAATTTGTAAGGTCTCTCTTAGACTATGTTAGGGTCTAAAGAATTAGGGTCTAAAGAGTTAAGAGGTGCCCTTAATAACAAAATGAGTTATACTTCTTAAAAACATCGATAAGGGCTTTGTTATCGTCGCCTTCCAAATAAGTTTTGATACGAGAAAAGTTAAGATTGTCTGAGGTTGAGCACTTATCTGTTTTTGTCGTTTCAGGTTTTGAGAAAATAATGTAGTCACTGTTTATTTCTCCTTTAATTCCCTACTCTACAAGGTCCCGTCCAACAACCACGGATTCAAAAATAATATTCTCTTTAATAATATGAAACAAAAGAGACACTGAAACATTTTGAATTATGACCGGGCTTAAAATTTGTGCATTACAATAAGTCTATAGACGTAGAAACACTAATAATAATTGACTGTTAATGTACACGAAGTATGACTAGAGTATTCAGTACCGAAGCGCAAGGTTGAATGACCTTTATTCGCTAATACGATCTAATATTAAAATCTTACGAAGTGGTGGGTAAGCGTGAAACTCATATCGTCGCCCGTTCGCTTCGACCGTATACTACGCGTTCAGATGCCTTTCAGGGGAACTACTTCATTGCTCAAAGTACACAGAAATTTATTTGAAAAATTTTCAGATACAGACACACATTAGTACTACATGAACAAGTACACCCACTACTAAAAAGAAAAGGAACAGTCTCACCAGATGACGTCGTCAACTCCCCTCGGCTCGGCCCATGGTCACACAGATATCTCCTTCACCGGCGAGCCTCAATTACCGGTACCTTTTACGATCAAGACACGACGAGACGTCCTAACCCTTATATCTGCTTCCGTACGATCCAGATTGAACCGGATCAACTACGTCGTCGAAGTTAGTTGAGAAGTTGACATTATTTTCATTGACAAGTTTCTCATTATTTTTTACAAAGTTTAACATAGATGGATGATCACTACTCTCCTCATTTTAAAGCCCTTTCGATCCCACTTCTGATGTAGGAGGGCGTTATAAGAACAGGAGGGCCTTCATGGGAACTCATACTTTGAAAGGGATAAAGTACAGTCTATTCAATACGACACCAACTCAATCGAAACACTAGATATCACTATCACTTCGATACACAGCGATTCGTCACGAGCGCGGTGCGCGGGCGTCATCCCGAACCACACTAAGATGGCCGCCCTCGCTACCATCACAATGACGCTTCACTAGGCTAACCTCAGACAGCTAAAAGTCAACCTGACGTATGATTTTTGACGGATGCGCCGTCATACTCAAACCTTCTTCAAGATCTTTAGCTTTAAAAAAATTATATACTTGGAAAACAAAATAAGACTATATAAATTAAACATATGACACGAGACGAAACCTCTCATCACTCAATGTATTCACGGTGCGTGTGTCGGGTCCATCGTTGTAGTGAGAGGAGCTTCAACAGTGACTGGGACTTGTGACCCAGGTGTAGGTTTAAGAGACCCTATCTAATATGGATCCTTATTATGAAAAAATGCTCTTCAATACGAAGATCCACCCTATCCTCATTCCCTAAAAACATTATTTCCCGATCTCTCAATCGATATTTAGGCATATTATATTACCTCATATGACAGTATGGTCTAAATATTTCAGCGTACACAATAATAACAGCTCTCAGTGACACGAAATGACATCACCAGTTATCTGTACCACCTTGAACGACCTGAGACGTTCAGTCAATTAAAATACAGTGAGCTATGAACATCCTCAAATAAACTATACTGATAACGCTTATCAGATACATTAATTAATGTAATAACTAGTTCTATATATTTAGATTAGTAAATTGCATCTTACGTATTCTTGTAATAAATATCTTTCAGTACATATGACGCGATATGTGATAATTTACTTATGAGAAGTTACATTCTGTTATCATAAGTCCAAGGACGTTTTTTACGTGTATTTTTTAGTGCATTATTTATTTATAGATATAATTTTTATCTTTAATATTTTTGTAATATTTATTGCACTGCAGATAATTTACTATAGAAATCATTTTTAAGGAATATTTCTCTTTAGAAAAGTACTATTAAATTAATTGGTCCCTGCAAAAATTTGTGATGTTGACTTTGTGTTCATCTTCAGTAACAGACAAATATCTGTTGTATATATATTTAATATAATAAATGTATGGACCTTCAATAATAATATTCTGTATAAAGTTTGTTTAGTTCCAATGGAAGTGTGTCATCAAATGGTACGTCAGGTCACCTTGAGTGCCGTCACCGTAACTACGATATGTTTATGTTTCATCTCAAGTTATTCAATACTTTATGCAACTCATTTTATTATTGGGAAGTAAAGAAAAACGAATGAGTAATAAATAAAAATCTTTATTATATACATTAAATTATGTTTGAAAACAATTTAAATCTCAATAGACTGTTATCTATGCCGACGTCATGGTATGCCTGAACCTTGGAGTACGTTAAGGTATATCAGTCAGCCTATCAGACCTGGCTTGCCGAGGCTCGCTGCTGACGAGAGGAATGTCACTATTAGAATGTCTCATGATATATCTCTCTTTATTGTTAAATCGTGCGTTCTGTTAGAAGTTAGCAAGCGTGTCTTCAATACACAGTAGGAATCATTAATAAAACCGAATGCAAAGACGATGGCGGCGGTGAGGCGCTGAGACGCTTAGTGGTCCTCTACTTCCTGCTCCTGCTCCTCGTCGAACTCGGCGTCCTCGTCCGCGGTGGCCTCCTGGTACTGCTGGTACTCGGACACCAGGTCGTTCATGTTGCTCTCCGCCTCCGTGAACTCCATCTCGTCCATACCCTCGCCTGTGTACCAGTGGAGGAAAGCCTTGCGTCTGAACATAGCCGTGAACTGCTCCGAGATGCGCTTGAACAGCTCCTGGATGGCCGTGGAGTTGCCGATGAAGGTGGCGGCCATCTTGAGGCCGCGGGGCGGGATGTCGCACACGGCGGTCTTCACGTTGTTGGGGATCCATTCCACGAAGTACGACGAGTTCTTGTTCTGGATGTTGAGCATCTGTTCGTCGACCTCCTTCATGGACATGCGGCCACGGAAGATGGCGGCCACGGTGAGGTAGCGGCCGTGGCGAGGGTCACAGGCTGCCATCATGTTCTTGGCGTCGAACATCTGTTGGGTCAGCTCGGGGACGGTCAGGGCGCGGTATTGTCTGCTGCCACGGGATGTGAGAGGAGCGAATCCGGGCATGAAGAAGTGGAGACGAGGGAAGGGGACCATGTTGACGGCCAACTTGCGGAGATCAGCGTTCAGCTGTCCGGGGAACCTGAGGCAGGTAGTGACTCCGGACATGGTGAGCGACACCAGGTGGTTGAGGTCGCCGTACGTGGGTGTGGACAGTTTGAGCGTGCGGAAGCAGATGTCGTAAAGAGCCTCGTTGTCGATACAGTAGGTCTCATCGGTATTTTCTACTAACTGATGTACTGAAAGGGTGGCGTTGTAAGGTTCTACGACGGTGTCTGATACTTTAGGGGAAGGTACTACTGAGTATGTGTTCATGATTCTGTCGGGGTATTCTTCTCTGATCTTGGAGATGAGAAGTGTACCCATACCGGACCCGGTGCCTCCACCGAGGGAGTGTGTGAGCTGGAAGCCCTGGAGGCAGTCACATGACTCTGATTCTTTACGTACGACGTCAAGAACTGAGTCTACGAGTTCAGCTCCCTCTGTGTAGTGACCCTTGGCCCAGTTGTTGCCGGCTCCCGACTGTCCGAACACGAAGTTGTCCGGACGGAAGATCTGTCCGAAAGGTCCAGAGCGGACAGAGTCCATGGTGCCGGGCTCCAAGTCCACCAGGATGGCGCGGGGGACGTACTTGTTTCCGGAAGCCTCATTGTAGTATACATTAATACGTTCCAGCTGTAGGTCGGAGTCTCCATGGTAGGCCCCGGTGGGGTCGATGCCGTGCTCGTCAGAGATGATCTCCCAGAACTGTCAACAGAAAACATTAAGTCAGTGAAAGTTAATACGTTAACTTATTTAACACTTTGGAATAATTCCCTATCCTATCCCTATACACATGAGAGTAGGCAAGTAGGATAAGTAGAAGTGTAGCTATCCTTGTTATATCTTAAGATCTGTTTGTAAGTGGGTTCATTAGTAACAATGGGCCGACGACAATTTCACTCAATGAGCTATCATAACGGATGGCAGGATGCATTCAACTGTAATGAGTACTACAGCCTGGCTAGCATTACGCAAGCGTGTGATTTATGGAGGCAAGTCGCCGGGCGACGCCCACGTCTCGACGAACCGATCTTGCCTTATATGTACCGAACGTATTGTATGTAACCAATCAGCGATGTCTTCGACTATCCAAAAAGCCCTGGCCTGTAAAGCCGCCATATGGTCACATAGCGAATCTCATTTGGCTAGACGACTTGCATATTTATTTAAATGGTTAAAGCCTTGGTTGCTAAGCGATCGGAAAACATTAAGATTCTTTTACGCGCGGGCATGATGTCATCCGAAGGTGTAGCCGTGTGTGTGTGTGTGTGTGTGTGTGTGTGTGGTGAGCTGACTTCACCTTATACAACAAGTGACTCGTCTGTGTGCCTTTCGGCTCACGGTTTCTAGACTCATAAATATGTATTGCTAATAAATACTTAGAGATTCTTGTTATCAACTATTTACTTATACGGGCGTTTGTAATTTGTTCTTATAAAAAATCAAAAGAAAGTTGAAGTGGTTAAATATATTAAAAATCATGACATTCTTTTGCTGTAGTAAATAAATAATTAATCATTAATAATTAATAATCTATATATTTTTAATGTTTTTGACAGTGACGTTGAAGTGTAAGCCGCTTTCAAAATTGACAGCTGAGTAAGTTATTAAAAAGTGAAAGGGAATCGATTGTTCGAAAGGTTGGTTTCTTTGTAACGAGATAGGATGAAAGTGCTGTGTGAACTGTTATAATGTGCCACTTGCGAGGGAAACTGCATCTACAATAGAAACTTCTGAACACACTCTCCGCTTATACAACTAAATATGAACAATAATATATCTTGACGTAACTGAGTATATTTTAAAGATTAAACCCACGTTTTATGGGTGAAGTCAGTGATTGTATCGTCAAATGCATAACCTGCTCGTGTATTAGACATAGCTAAGTGTTCAGCGTTAACCAAGTTATTTTAAACTGCGTCCAACGACCGGGGTTCAACGACCCCGGCTCGCTGCTCCTCTGATAAGATAATTCTAACATATGACTTGAGATGAATTTAAATGTAACAGAACTAGCTTTATATATTTAAATGTACCTCAAAATAAATGTAATATTTCATATATTGTAATGTGAGGGCGACGGAGCAGAAATGTACCGCTATTGTTGAGCCGGTATTATTATTTGAGATTGTTTTTAGTAGACGCGTTATATTGTTTTAAAATCGTTTCACGATGACACACTAAATAAAAAATTATGAATAGATTACGTAAGACATGTTGTTAGTATGTTTTTTTTATTATTTTATTCTTATAAAGGCACGTATTTATTTCTATTCATCTATATCCTTACTTCAACGATCTTGTCGATTATCTCCGGGATGTTTGAAAATATTTCTATCTATAGCTTATTTGATATATAGACAATAAAATTTAAATGTATAATATTTAATTTATTGTAAATTCTATTTAACGTAAAAATAACTGTCATAGACAAATATTTATTTTTATTTTTTTCCAAACAAGTATATTTTGTTATAGCTTAGCAAATAATTGTCCTCAATACGATATATTAGTTGCATGAGTACAGTTAATAAATACATTAATGAGGTCACCGCATACTAAAATGGAGATTGTCGTATTTTTAATACAATTGACATATATTTTATAATGATTGAACTAGCCTCGTAATTAATAAGGTATTTTACCCTTTTAAAAAATAACTATGAAAAGTATAATTTCATAGAAAGTCAGATGTGTATCTCATCGATGGTGTGTTGCATGCAAATGCTTCGAAAGCGGTAATTAGGGAAATCGGATGAAACAATGGATACGGATTATTAGAATTTAGACCATAAATATATGTAAAATAGAGTCGTGTTTCATTTATATTATGCATCGGCGTTAATTTAGTAGTTTAATATGTTTATTTAATTAACTTGTATTTCTAGAGATTATCGCAGTGACTCAGAGCTGTATTTAGTGATGACGTCAGCTTACAGTTTATGTATAATTAACAAATATTTGAAAGGTGTTCACCGATGGGAGACTTTCGTGACGACCCCATCACTCGGGGTCGCAACCCCACCCTGTGACCCCGTCTGCGTGTATAAACTATATTATTCAATTTAATTAAGAACGACGTTATGCAATAATAGTAAATTTCTATGATGAAAAGTATTTTTCACTGTTAAGAATTTTCCAGAATTAAGTTTCCACGGTTGTACCGTTACTATCACATTCCGAAGTCATCTGTAATGTAATATATTGTTAATATGAACTTACTTTAGCTCCTATCTGGTTACCGCACTGGCCGGCCTGGATGTGAACGATTTCCCTCATATTGTTTAATAAAAATTTGTAATAACTTAACACTAAGCGTCTCTCACAACACTGCTCGATGGTATGACCCGACGCCGGCCGAGTCGTGTGTTTTGAAGTCCTACTCGCCTCCGCACAATGTTCATTCTGATCTCTGATTGGTCGATTCGTTCGTTGCTCACTTCACACCATTACGAATCCTTATCGTACAGTGCACCGCTCACTTTAATACAGATTTAATCCATTCCAGTCTTTATTGTGAAGATATAAACGCTACAGCTGTCCATGTGGTACACCGTACAATGAATACCGCTATATATGGAGTTATTACTGCATGATTATTTTTGTTACTTTATCGTTAAGTGCATTTAGCTTTTGGTTCTGTTCTACATGTTGTGCTCACGCATTATTTTTAGACACACTTTTATTGTGTCGTGTTGATACAAAAACATTTCAAGGAAATTACATTAATTTTAGATCGATGTACAACTTTGAATATTAAATTAATAATATTTAATATTGAAACAGCATGTTTTATTTTTAAAGTTTTCTACTCATTATTTCTTCTGTCTTATTTCCAAAGTACACATAATTTCTTTCGTATTATTATAGTGAAAACAATCGAAAGCTTATCACTAGTTTCATCTTCACACTACATACGTAGCGTTAACAGTATTTGATTCATAAATTTTCACATAGTATTTACGTAGATTATAGAGTGAGAAACGTAACGTAGTGTGAGTAAACTTGTAGTAATTATACAGTTCATTACATAAAATACTCCTGTTTTGATAAAAAACAAGTCTAAAGTTAGAGAGTTGTATGTTGTTAAAATTCCAAACACAATGACTTTTATCAGTGAATAGATGTTTAAAGGAATGGAAGCGGCAGATCAGAATTATTATAAGTGTTTGGATAATTTTGAAACAAGTACAAAATGTAAATAAGAAATATTACTAAAGTAATTAGTCCATTGAAATGTTAAATGAATTCTGCATTTTTTAGAGGACGCAATTTTATTTGGCACATGTTAGGGTTTAATAGAAGCTTAATCTCAAGTTCGTGATGTCGCCACCCTTGTCCCACAGCCGCCATTTTGGATAAAGGGGGTGAAAACACTTATTTCGCGATATCTCTGAAACTATGCATCTCACTGAAAATTTGTAAGGACATAAATAATAGCAAATTATATTGCCTAAAAATATGTTTATATAACTTTTTGCCTAAATTAAAAATTTATGGTGTTACGTCATATAAGTACTAATTATGTTATGAGACATAATACGATCTATTTCAATGACCCTACTCACTGAAACAATACATTAATATTAGGACAAATTCTTCACTTTTCACCCCTTTAATTTGTTCATATAATTCTCTATACAGAAGTATTTTTATATATACATATTGGTTTAAATGTATTTAGTCTGAAACCAGCGTTTTCGTTGTTTTTTTTTTCATTAAAAGTGATTAATAGTGATTTATGTGACACTCCGCTCAGCCCACACATGACTCAGTTACTTACTGTTTGTGGGACAATTATTATTTATTATATTTTTGTTACATTCATTGAGTATTACGAGTAATATGTTTTGGTGTTTACTTAGAACGGAATCATTTCTCATATATTTATGAATACTCAATCATTTAAATTAACTTTCCTCTTATTGAAATCACGAAAATAGTTAGTGACTTAAGGTTAGTAATGAAATGTTAACTGAATCTTTATATATAAAAAAGTCGTGTTAGTTACACTATTTATAACTCAAGAACGGCTGCACGGATTTGAAAAGTGGTGGAGAGATAGCTTAGAACAACGGAAGGACATAGGATAGTTTTCACCGGATTGAAATAGGAAAAAAAATAAGTTGATCAAATCCAAAGTTTTCTTATCTGCTGTCTCTAAGAAAGAATAGAGTTCATCCGGTCAGCTATACATTTCTAATTCTGAAACTAAAGCAGACGGAGTCGCGGACAAAAACTAGTATGAAATAAATGCGAACCCACCAATTATACGTTTGATGACAATTGCACAATTGTTCTAACTTTTGGTAATACGACTGTCGTAATTTGACAGATTTTATAGCACTTCTGAATGATCTCATTTAAACAGGAAGTTATTAATGTATATAATAGTTAGCTAACTATTATGTAAATCTTATATAGCAAAAGATAGAAACGAAACCTCTCATCATTCAATGTATTCACGGTGCGTGTGTCGGGTCCATCGTTATAGTGAGAGGAGCTTCAACAGTGACTGGGACTTGCGACCCAGGTGTAGGTTTAAGGGACTCTATCTAACGCGCGTTAAACGCTCACCTCCACTGTACAAGCTCCTCTCTTCACCAAATTTAAAAAGAACCTACTAGGTACCTTCAAATTATAAATATAAATAGCATATAAATTAACTGAAAGTGTACATAATGAGGCTTGAAAATTTCTATATCAGAAATATTTGTAAATAAATAATTTAAAAGTTTATTATTTTTAAATATTAGTTCTCATTCATAAAGTACATATAATAGTGGAGTATTTTTGGTTGAAGAAGGAAAACCAGCATTGTGTCAAGGCCTGTTAAACGATAAACGACGTTTCTGAGTAAAACAGGCTCCGATGAAAAAACATTAGTATTTAGGTTTTGATGTGGAATGACGTGTTTACATAGATAGGAGTATAATTATTTATAATTAAATTTAAATATTTGTTATATGGAATACAGATACATATATTAATCATTTTATATATTTTATTATCAGATATATAAAGAAAGGCTCTTTTAATGAAAAAACTGTCAGTTTTCAAGTTATTTAAGTCCTTCTTCTACCTGGCAATTTCCCAGACTTAGCCAGGGTCTGCCTTACATGTAGTGAATAGTTTTGGCTAATTGTTTTTACGACCGGCCGCCTGCCTGACATCAACCCTCTTTGGGAATGCATTAACCAGTGATGTCTAAATACTATTAGAAAGTACATATGACTCAAGTTAATTTATAAGTATCATATAATAATTTGCGATTATTAAACTTATTGAATAACGTAAAACTGTGAAAGCTGTCGTAAACTGTACACGTACAGTAAGGTCGCAGATATAAAACTTGTTCCACCCACATACTATGAATCAATCATTGGTTTACATTGTTATATAAAGTAACTATTACTTAATATTTATTAAAATTTAAATTTCTTATATCTCTTAAGATAAAATACAGTTTTAATGGCGGACTATTTAGCTTTCTTACAATAAAAACACGTAGTAACTTTCAGTTTGAAAGTTTTCCATCGTATTTCACGTGTATTTATTTAGATTTTAGAAATGATATATTATATTAAGCGTGAGTGAGTACACTCTTATCACGAGGAAGACCAGATCAATCAGCCGGCCTTGGTCCACACGCAATGCCAATTGTCCACCCACGTGACAAAGTAGACCTACATTGTTAATATACTATTATTGTGTATTGTTTTTGACAAAAACTAAAACTGTGATTCATTTGTTTTGATAACTATTTTTTGTTAAATGTCTTTCGAAGGTCGTTAGCAGGTATACTCTTTCTGTTTTTTTAAAAGATATTAATTATTTTTGTAAAATTAATATATGTCACGTTTTGTTTTGATTAATTTCGTATTATTTTGTAAAATAATTTATTTTTAGATACAAGATTCCTTATTATCAGTTTCAATGTGTCACTTAAGCTGTATTTTATCAAACGTTATCTATATCATGAAATTAATTTCTTGAAAACATATCAATATTTTTGCGAAGTATTGATAGTGGGAATAAAATCTTCGTATCTTTTTTTGGTGGGTTTCTTTGAATAGGGGATGCTGGAAAATTTGGGGACCATAAATCAGGGGTAGTCGATACAATGCACCTATAGCTAGTATGTAGACGGAAATGACGTCATAAATATTAAGGGGCGCTGTGTGTATGTAAGTAATATCTACGAATTTGCGTCGTTTACTTAAACAAGTAGCAGAAAAAGATATAAACAATGTTTTTAATTCATTTTACATAAAGATTTTAAGGCCTTGATAGGTAAATAAATTAGTAAAACTTAATAAATACGTGTTTGTTCATAATTCATATTGTACATATTTAAGCATTTTTGAGACATTCTAGCTGAAATGAATCTTATGTTACATTGAAAAGTGATGTGAAAATATCAGTTATATACATAGAAATTTGGATGTTTTCAAAGCCAGAATTACAGAGAATATTCCTGAGATAGACTATCTATTACTTCCTGCTTCACTCCAACCTACCATATGGTGGATTAATAGTTAATAACTATCAATTTATACTAAAAAACATGTATTAAATTATATACATATATATGTATATGTATAATAGTATGCTAATAGTTGACTAACTCACCAGTCTCTAATATCTCTCTTTATTTGGCCAGTCTGCTCCTCCGCGTGGGCTCTAATATTTAAAATAAACTTTATTACACATATAATACCAGAGATCATCCGATATTATATCTAATTCCTAATTATATATACATTATTTTTACTGCTCATTCCGTAATTCAACTGAGAAAAAAATGCCGTGGTTCTATTTAAAAAAGATATATACTCGTAATTATTATTAAGATTGTTACTTATTTACATCCAATGATAATAATGAACTTTTATATTTAAAACAAACATAATAATTATATATATTTTAGTATATATATTCTTCTTTCTTGCGACTTAATCTGCGTGGAGTTTGGATTAAGTGCAATGTGAAACATTAGATGTGGTAATAGTAATCAACATGAACAGCTTGTGTCACGGGTAGTCATAATACGGGGCTTACAACTTGATCCCTCGGGAATTACATTGAATGAAGGGATAAATGACTACCTATATCTTATTCTGATGCCTAAGCTACATTACTGTAAAATTTAATTACAATCTGATCTCACGAAACAACGACAAACTTCCTTTTGTGGAATCAACTTAAAAAAATATTTTTCAGTATTAAATTAAGGTCCTAGAAGTTAAAGGCTTCTTGTGCACGAGGGTGCGGGTTCG